ATCTGTAATGACTCATCCTAATAATGATGTACATTTAACTATACACGACTGTGTGAATGCATGAAAAGTTTAACAAAAGTTGGGAAAAAAAGAAGACATAATTCACTATACTATACATTATGCTCCATGCTTACAGTGAGGGAAATAATTATTTGATCCCTTGCTGAATTTGTAAGTTTGCTCACTTACAAAGAAACGAAGTCTCCAAATTTTAGAGTTGTTTCATTTTAATGGAGAGAGACCGAATATTAACCAAAAACCCAGAAAAAAACACATTAGATGAAATGTATAAATTTATTTGTATGTCATTGAAGGAAATACAGTGGGGCAAAAAAGTATTTAGTCAGCCACCGATTGTGCAAGTTCCCCCACTTAAAATGATGACAGAGGTCAGTAATTTGCACCAGAGGTACACTTCAACTGTGAGAGACAGAATGTGAAAAAAAAAATCCATGAATCCACATGGTAGGATTTGTAAAGAATTTATTCGTAAATCAGGGTGGAAAATAAGTATTTGGTCACCTCAAACAAGGAAAATCTCTGGCTCTCACAGACCTGTAACGTCTTCTGTAAGAAGCTTTTCTGTCCCCCACTCGTTACCTGTATGAATGGCACCTGTTTGAACTCATCATCTGTATAAAAGACACCTGTCCACAGCCTCAAACAGTCAGACTCCAAACTCCGCCATGGCCAAGACCAAAGAGCTTTCGAAGGACACCAGGAAAAGTATTGTAGACCTGCACCAGACTGGGAAGAGTGAATCTACAATAGGCAAGCAGCTTGGTGTGAAAAAATCAACTGTGGGAGCAATCATCAGAAAATGGAAGACATACAAGACCACTGATAATCTCCCTCGATCTGGGGCTCCACGCAAGATCTCATCCCGTGGGGTCAAAATGATCATGAGAACGGTGAGCAAAGATCCCAGAACCACACGGGGGGACCTGGTGAATGACCTGCAGAGAGCTGGGACCAAAGTAACAAAGGTCACCATCAGTAACACACTACAACGGCAGGGAATCAAATCCCGCAGTGCCAGACGTGTTCCGCTGCTGAAGCCAGTGCATGTCCAGGCCCGTCTGAAGTTTGCCAGAGAGCACATGGATGATACAGCAGAGGATTGGGAGAATGTCATGTGGTCAGATGAAACCAAAGTAGAACTTTTTGGTATAAACTCAACTCGTCGTGTTTGGAGGAAGAAGAATACTGAGTTGCATCCCAAGAACACCATACCTACTGTGAAGCATGGGGGTGGAAACATCATGCTATGGGGCTGTTTTTCTGCCAAGGGGACAGGACGACTGATCCGTGTTAAGGACAGAATGAATGGGGCCATGTATCGTGAGATTTTGAGCCAAAACCTCCTTCCATCAGTGAGAACTTTGAAGATGAAACGAGGCTGGGTCTTCCAACATGACAATGATCCAAAACACACCGCCCGGGCAACAAAGGAGTGGCTCCGTAAGAAGCATTTGAAAGTCCTGGAGTGGCCTAGCCAGTCTCCAGACCTCAACCCCATAGAAAATCTGTGGCGGGAGTTGAAAGTCCGTGTTGCTCGGCGACAGCCCCAAAACATCACTGCTCTCGAGAAGATCTGCATGGAGGAATGGGCCAAAATACCAGCTACTGTGTGTGCAAACCTGGTAAAGACCTATAGTAAACGTTTGACCTCTGTTATTGCCAACAAAGGTTATGTTACAAAGTATTGAGTTGTATTTTTGTTATTGACCAAATACTTATTTTCCACCCTGATTTACGAATAAATTCTTTACAAATCCTACCATGTGGATTCATGGATTTTTTTTTCACATTCTGTCTCTCACAGTTGAAGTGTACCTCTGGTGCAAATTACTGACCTCTGTCATCATTTTAAGTGGGGGAACTTGCACAATCGGTGGCTGACTAAATACTTTTTTTGCCCCACTGTAAGTGTTTAAGCTACACGTAAAACATTACTAAGTGCTTGGTGGAGAAACCCTTGTTGGCAAGGGGGATTTTGCCTCTCTCCTCTTTACAGAAACTCTATAATTCTTTTAGGTTTCTTGGCATCGCAAAGCTTCGGTTCCCTCCACAGGTTTTCTATATGATTGAGGTCTGGAAACTACCTACACTACTCCATGACCTTAATGTGTTTCTTCCTTAGCCAGTCCTTTGCTTCCTTATCGGTATGTTTTAGGTCATTGTCATGCTGGAAGACCCATCCACGACCCATCCTCAGTGTTCTAGCTGAGGGAAGGAGGTTCTTATCCAACTTGTTCCAGTACATGCCTCCATCTAAAGTACAGTCTCAAAGCATGATGTTTCCATCTCGGTTTTAAGGGTCGCAATGGTGCTCTTTGGGTTATACTCAGGATTTCTCTTCTTGCAAACATGGTGGATTGAGTTGATGCCAAAGAGCTGCACTTTGGTTTCTTCTGACCACAGCACTTTCCCCCCAAGGCTTTACTGAATCATTTAGATGTTCACTGGCAAACAGTTCTGTACATGTGCAGTCTTGAGCAGGGAGACGTTGCAGATGTTGTAAGATTAGTGCTTAGTGTTTTACCAGCGGTGTTCTTCTTGACTATGGTCCCAACTGCTTTCAGATCATTAACAAGCTCCTGTAATGTAGTTTTGGGCTGATCCACTATCTTCCTCATGATCATCCTCATCCCATGAGGCAAGATCTTGCATGGAGCTCAAGACTGATCTATAATTGATTGATTAAGTAACCGGTTCTAATATAATTTGGGGTTTTTTCTGGATTTTTGCATATATTCTGTCTCTTTTCATTAAAATTAATAGCCATTGTTATTTTAGTTATCATTGGGAAATGTGTTTGCATTCTTAAAAGTAGCACAACACTGTGTTGGATAACTAGCACCAGCACTAAATAATCCATGCTACAATATCATATTGCATTAGTGTTTACCACTGATTATTAGAGCGGGTCTCAAGCGTGAAATAACATTTTCCATCTCACAGGTGAGGTGATGTTTTGCTGATGACCACATAAAATGAAACCAGAACCAATTTCAAGCTTTAGGAACAAGGTGAAAAGTCATAAACAGTAACTGGGATATAGCTCTGCTTATGTCTTCCCATAGCTCTGCTATGGTCTACACCAACTCTCAGTCCTTTCAACTTTTTGTTTTGATTTTCCTGAGTGTGTGTGTGTGTGTGTGTGTGTTTTTTAAACCCCTTTAAAACCTCTCTTATATCACTTACCATCTTTCTTGCTTTTTACTGGCACCTGTGTTCAAACACACGATGAAAGTGTGACTTAGCATAAAAATATGATTAAAAATAACTACAATCATGTGAAAAACAAAGTTTTCATAGGACTTAATAGTGCATAGCCCATGTCCATTGACCTCTCTAATGCATCTACCACAGGATTTCGTTTAGGTTGAGGTCTGGACACTGAGCCATGACACGCATATTCTTGTATTTTTCAACCATTCTGTTGCAGATTTGCTCTCGTGCTTAGGATCATTGTCCTGTTGCATGACCCAATTTTAGTGAAGTATTGGCCATCTGGTGTTAGCTGTTTAACAATAGTTAGTTTAGAGGTTATAAACTGTGAGCTGAGTGTACAGGTCTGTGTCAAAATGTTTTTTTAGGATTTTCCTTTAAGAACATTTTACTTGTGGAAGAAATACAAACAAGTGCTTTGATGCACATTAATACATGCACAGTGGATATACAGATAACTAAAACAAAAACATGTTTGCTGTTAATATGAAGATCTTTTGTTTACTGGGTTTGACCTTATTGGGTTTGATTTATTTTGATTTCTTTGTGTTTTCTACTTCCTTCTGTCTCCCCTGGCTCCTTCATGGTGTTATGTTTAACTAATACTTTATTTTTCATAACATAGCCTTTGCCATAACGGGATGGGCACCTTACTAGTAATGTAACTACACAATGTGGCGGCATAGACGTCAGCAACCTTGATAAGTCTGTTTGGTGGCAATATGTAGTGTAAACATCATATATTGAATAGCACAAGGACACTACCTCAGTGAAACAAAATGTAAAAGATTGCCGTTAACATGCTCATTATCCTAATAAAATAGATTGTGTTTTGCCAGTGTGGACATGTGCAGTTTTTGTTGCTTGCGTAACTCTGCTCTGAAGTCAAATGATGACCTTGCCCACCATGGATTCAATACAGTACTATAAATCGCCCTTTAGTCTTTATGTGTAAATGTTAATGTTGTATGTTTCTTGTGCTTTAGGTATATTGTTTCATTTATTTATTTATTTATTTTTGCCAAGGAAGGCTCAAATCTGTTGTTTACTTTAGCTGAACCTGAATCTTGTGACCTCTCTCCAAGACCACACCTGAAAAAGTTTGCATAGCATAAGTGATTTTAAAACGCTAACATGCTAATATTAGATTCTTGAGCTCATGTGATGCAATAACAACAAGCGTGCAAATTGATTATTATTAATGTAAAGACCGAATACTAACTTATTTTGTGAAAAATAAGTTATTAATAATATTAATAACAAAAAATAAATAAATAAAATCCACAGCTAGTGGAGAAAATTTCTCATGATTTTCAGGATTAGACGTTTAGTTGATAATAAAATTGTACTTTGCTATGATATAAATACTTTGTATAATTTACAATAATTCATGTGGGAATTTTTACAATTCTAAAAGAAGATAGGCACCGATCTGAATCTAGATATCAATTCAAAGACATGAGTAATACTGTAGCCTACTTTATCATATTCGTATTTTTCAAGTTCGAAACGAAAAAAAACAAACATGTTTATCTTATTTATTGATGATTTTCTGATGGACGTGATACAACTTTACTCACTTCCTGCTTTACATCCATCCTTCATCAGCCTGCCCGAAGCACCTCGTTCCGCCAACCTGTTGCGGCAATCAAACAACTTTTACGCGCGCCGAGCTCCAGTGACGCAGTCAAGTGTCAGCACGAGAGGCGGGTGTTTGACACGAGCCTTCATATTTCTCTGACGTGAGATACAAGCTGTCAGAAGAGCAAGAAGTCAAAAGACAAAAGACACCAAAGGCCAGCCAAAGAGAGAGATGAGAACCTTTCAGAGCCAAAGTCAGCGCGGAGCCTTCAGCACCCTGCACAGCCTCAGCAGCAGCGCCATGAGTCCACTCCGCACGGCCAGCATCACCTTCGCAGCCCTCCTCATCCTCACCATACCAGTCTGCCAAAGTAAGTCAGTCAGCTTATTTCCTTATAAGCAGGTTTATTCCTAATTAAAAAAGTTAAAGAATAACGTCTAAATCTATCTATCTATCTATCTATCTATCTATCTATCTATCTATCTATCTATCTATCTATCTATCTATCTATCTATCTATCTATCTATCTATCTATC